CTTTTCCCCCCCTTCCAGTCCGGAAAATTTTCCCCCCCCTTTCCCGTCCGGGGCACCCCTTTTCCCCCCTTCCTTTCCCGGGCACTTTCCCCCCCCTTCCAGTCCGGACCTTTCCCCCCCTTTCCCGTCCGGGCACTTTTTGCCCCCCTTTCCCGTCCGGAAAGCACTCCCCACCCCCTCCCTCCCTGGTCCCTCTTCCTCCCGCGTGATCTCTCCTCTCGCCCTCCCCGGCCTGTCCTCCCCCCCTTCCCTTCCCCCCTGTTCCCGGCTCCTCCCTTCCCGCCGACCCTCCGCACACCCCCTTCGCTCTGCGTGCCCCCCCCCACTCCGCCCCTCCCTCTCCTTCCACCCACCTGCACCTCCCTCCGCCCCCCCCTCGCCTCCCCCCCGGGCTCTTCCCCCCCCCCTCCAGTCCGGGACCCTATCCCACCTCCCCTTCTGCCCCAGTTCCGGACCCTTTGCCCCCCCTTCAGTCCGGACCCCCCTCCCCACCCCCCAGTTGCCCACTCCAGAACCACCTCCCCCGCTTTCAACCGCAGGCCCCAACCACGCCCCCTATCCCCTCCAGTCTCCGACCTCCCCCCCTCCCCCCCCCCCCCACACCCCTTTCCAGGCCAATTACCTCACGCTTTCCCCTCCCCCACCCCCTTTTCTACCCCCCCGCCGCCCCGCCGATCATCCGTCACTCCCCCTACCCCCACACCAATCTCCTGAGGACACCTACCCCTCGCAACCCCCCTCTATATACTCCCCGATGGGAGTCCATAGCCCCTCCCGCTATATAATGCCCCCCGTCAAAAAAATTTGCCGCAGCTCGTTTTTCTTATAGCATTTTGCAAATAATTATATTCATCCCCCGACTTGCTCCCCCCCCACTTCCCCGAAACCCTCTCCGTTATCTCAGTAAAGAAAAATACAAAAATATCTAAAATTTCTCCCCCCCCCCCCCCCCTCCCTCCCCCCCCTCGCATCCCGCCCATACTGTCCCCCCCCCCCTCTGTCGCTCCCCCCTCCGCGACACTGTACCCCCCCTGAGCCGTTGTCTCCCCCTCCTCGCCCCCTCCCCACCGATTCCCCCCAGCAACCTCCATCCCAGGGCCCCTCCCAAAGCACTCATGGTCCCATTCTCACACGCGCCTCGGATATCCCCCTTGCAGCCAATCGCAATTTTCTGTGACTCGCCCTGTGCCCCCGTACCTTCCCCGCCCCTCCTGTCACTCTGCCCGCTCCCATTCTCAACGCTACGCCCTCCCTCCCCCCCTGCCCCCCATGTCCATCTCATGTACCCCCACCCCCCCCCCCGATTTCACGCGTCCTATGCAATCCTGGGTAGATCCGTCCTCATATTCCTTCCCACTCCTTGCCCCCGAATCAGCTGATTGGCCGCTCCCGTTCACATGATCGGGACCTTGCTCAGAGGTCCCGTTCCCCCCCTCCCCGCCCTCCCACCCCACCCCAGAGGACACCCCGGCCGCCTCAACTCCCCGGAGCACACCCCCTGCCCCCCATCCCAGGGACTCGCCTCCCCGCACCGCCCTCCCCTCACATCCCCCGCCCCTCCGCCCCCCCGTCATTCCCGCCCCTGCGACCGCCTACACCTCTCCCGCCCCCGTTCTCCACCTATAACAGCGGTCCGGTCCCATGTGTCAAGCCCCCTCTAAAGTACGGTCCTCCTTCTCTGGGGTGAGTTCACAGAACAATATCCATGCCTCCAAGAGCCCCGCCTCGCCCCTACTTGACAGTGCAGATGGACGGCCACGTGTAGGGAAATCTAAAAATCTCCCGCCCCTGCATCCCCTCCTCCTCTTTGTCTAGGCGCACCCATGACGCTTTTCCCTCCCCCCTCGCCTCACCCCCCCCACGAGTCCCTCCAAGCCCTCTCCCTCCCCCCCCCATTCACAACTGGACACCTGCTGATTTGCTGTGTCCAATCACCTCCTAGAGCCCTGTGTTGATAATAACACAGGACGCTTGCACTGTGGGAACGAATCTCTCTGTTTCCCCCCCCTCTCCTACGCCCCCACCCCCCCCCCCGAGCCCCCCCTCTCCCACTCCCACTCGCACTATTTAATTAAACATAATAAACCCCATGTTAGCCTAGTGTTAACAACTGTCCCAGCCGGTGTCATTACCACGATGCTGTCCCCTAGTATCCCTCCCCGCCTCCCACTCTGTATTCCCTCTGCCCCCTGGCCGATGCCCTCCCCCCGTTAGTGTATTCCCTGCCACCGCACCAAGTCTACCTCCCTGCTCTTATACGTTAATAAATATTAAATTCCAGCTTTATACAGTATTACCATTAGGTTCTCTAGGACGCCCCCCCCGTCACAAAAAACCATTCCCACTCACCGTCCACTTATCCCTGGGATGTCCCCCCTCGCACACGCCCCGCAAATAATTCATTTAGACCACACCCCTCCCCCCCCAACCCCTAAAACCGCCTCTATTGCCACTCCGTTTTGTAGCTAGTAGTAAAATATTCCCGTCTCCTTTCTCCCGCTACCGCCGTATTTTTTACATTTTTATCCCCGAAAATAAACTCAGCGGTGATTCCCCCCCCCCACCCAAAAAAAGGCTCCATTTGCTGTCCCCCTAAATGATATAAATTGTAACCAATTCCAGGACTGACCCCTCCCAGCCGCCTTCCTCCCTGGATCTCCTACCCACCCGCCTTTTCCACGCCCTCCGGTCCACTTCCCACCTGCTTACTAATCCCTCTCAACCAACCCCCCCCCCCTTTCCAGTTACGGGACAAGTACTTTCTTCCCCCTTCCAGTCCAGGGGAACGGACTTTCACCCCCTTCCAGTTCCAGACACTTTCCCCCCCCCTTCCAGTGTGCCTGGGGCGATGGAACCCGTTTCTCCCCCCCCACCCCCTTTCCACTCAGTCCGGACACTTTACAACCTTTCCTGTGACGGACATCGGGCCCCCTTCCAAGTGGATGGTAACGGACACTTCCCCACCCACCCCATTCCTGTCAGACACTTCCCATCTTCAGTTCCAGGAAAACTCTTTCCCCCAACCTTCCAGTTGGACACGGGTTTTTCCCCACCTTCCTGTCCGGACACGTTCCCCCCCTTCCAGTCTGGACACTTCCCCCCCCCCCCCCCCTTCCAGTCCAGACACTTCCCCCCCTTCCAGTCCGGACACTTTCCCCCCTCCCAGTCCGGACACTTCCCCCCCTTCAAGTCCGGACACTTTCCCCCCCCTTCCAGTCCGGACACTTTCCCCCCCTCCCAGTCCGGACACTTCCCCCCCCTTCCAGTCCGGACACTTTCCCCCCTTCCAGTCCGGACACTTTCCCCCCCTCCCAGTCCGGACACTTTCCCCCCTTCAAGTCCGGACACTTTCCCCCCCCTTCCAGTCCAGACACTTTCCCCCCCTTCCAGACTGGACACTTTCCCCCCCTTCCAGACTGGACCTTTCCCCCCACTTCCAGTCTGGACACTTTCCCCCCCCCCCTTCCAGTCCGGACACTTCCCCCCCTTCCAGTCCGGACACTTTCCCCCCCCCCCTTCCAGTCCGGAGACTTCCCCCCCTTCCTGTCCAGGCCAATTTTCAGCTTTCAGCGCTGTCACACTTTGAATGACAATTGCGCGGTCATGCAACACTGTACCCATATTAATTTTTTTAGCATTTTTTTGAGACAGATAAATATTTTGGTAATATTTATTCACCGCTGGGATTTTTATTTTTTTTTGCTATATAAATAAAAAAGTCCAAAAATGTTTTTAAAAAGTGTTTTTCTTATAAAATTTTGCAAATAAATAATCTTTCTTCATAAATCTCGGCCAAAATTTATTCAATTATCATTTTAGTAAAAAAAAAACAAAAAAACAACCCAAATTAGTTTATAACCAAAAATTATAATTTTTCAAAACATTTTTTACATTTTTATTTAATTTTTTATATTATTTTTTTTTTTTTTTTTACATACTGTGACACTGTACTACTTGTGGGGGGTGATGAAGATTTGTTTTTCTTTTTTTACACTGATTGCTTTTACACCCATATAGGATGTAAAAGCAATCATTTCTCCTTCTCTCTGACTGCATTCCTGCAGCCATTGAGAAATACTGTGTGAGCTGTGATTGGTCACAGCTTGTCACATGATACAAGGCTGTAGTGAATAGCCCTGTACCATGTGATATCTGTGATCATTCACAGATTTCACACGTAGTAAGCAATGATGTCAGAAGTGACATCTTGCTTACTACTCTTCATGTGATCCCTGATTGGCCAATCAGTGCTCACATGATCAGGACATCGCACAGCGTTCCCATACGACAATCGGGTTTCCACTGTGTCAGGAGGACACAGCGGGCACCGGATCGCGGTGCTGCGTGCTCCCAGGGAGTGCACACAAGCAGGGAGCAGGGAGGACATTTATAAACAGCCACCCGACCCTGCACTGCCACCGTCCGGCCGTTTATATACAACTTCCAGACGAAGTGGTTAATTTGGGTACAAAGTTGCATGACCGTACAATTATCAGTTAGAATAGCGCAGTGCTGAGTAGGACAAAATGCCTTGGTCATGAAGGGGGTAAAACCTTCCGGAGCTGGAAGTGGATAACAAGCCCACACACTGAAGAGCCAGCAAAAGAATGTCTCTGTCTAGGATGGTAGAATTGATGGATGAAAACCTTCGCCTTCTCCATGCGTGCAAATACACAGCGCATCCAGAAAGTATCCCCATTGGTCGGATGTCTCCGCTATTCATACTGCGCATCCAGAAAGTATTCCCAGCGCTTCACTCTTGCCACATTTTGTTGTTGCAGCCTTATTCCAAAATTTATTAAATTCATTTTTTTCCTCCACATTCTACAAACAATACCCCATAATGGCAACGTGAAAGAAGTTTGTTTTTAAATCTTTGCAATTTATTAAAAATAAAAACTGAAACCTTTGTTGAAGCCCCTTTAGCATCAATTACAGCCTCAAGTCGTTTGGAGTATGATGCTACAAGCTTGGCACACCTATTTTTAGGGCAATACTGATCCTCCTTGAGATGTTTCCACAACTTGATTGGAGTCCACCTGTGGGACATTCAGTGGATTGGAGTCCACCTGTGGGACATTCAGTGGATTGGAATCCACCTGTGGGACATTCAGTGGATTGGAATCCACCTGTGGGACATTCAGTGGATTGGAGTCCACCTGTGGGACATTCAGTGGATTGGACTCCACCTGTGGGACATTCAGTGGATTGGAGTCCACCTGTCCACCTGTGGGACATTCAGTGGATTGGAGTCCACCTGTGGGACATTCAGGGATTGGAGTCCACCTGTGGGACATTCAGGGGATTGGAGTCCACCCACCTGTCCACCTGGGACATTCAGTGGGATTGGAGTCCACCTGTGGGACATTCAGTGGATTGGAGTCCACCTGTGGGACATTCAGTGGATTGAAGTCCACCTGTGGGAGATTCAGTGGATTGAAGTCCACCTGTGGGAGATTCAGTGGATTGGAGTCCACCTGTGGGAGATTCAGTGGATTGGAGTCCACCTGTGGGACATTCTGTGGATTGGAGTCCACCTGTGGGACATTCAGTGGATTGGACATGATTAGGAAAGGCATAAACCTGTCTATAGAAGGTCCCACAGGTAACAGTGCATGTCAGAGCACAAACCAAGCCATGAAGTCCAAGGAATTGTCCGTAGACCTCCGAGACAGGATTGTATCAAGGCACAGATCTGGGAAGGGTACAGAAAAATTTCTGCAGCATTGAAGATCCCAATGAGCACAGTGGCCTCCATCATCCGTAAATGGAAGAAGTTTGGAACCACCAGGAATCTTCCTAGAGCGGGCCACCTGGCTAAAATGAGCGATCGAGGCAGAAGGGCCTTAGCCAGGGAGGTAACCAAGCACCCGATGGTCACACTGAAAGAGCTCCAGTGTTTCTCTGTGGAGAGAGGAGAACCTTCCAGAAGAACAACCATCTCTGCAGCACTCCACCAATCAGGCCTGTATGGTAGAGTGGCCAGCAGGAAGCCAATCCTCAGTAAAAGGCAAATGGAGTTTGCCAAAAGGCACCTGAGGGACTCTCAGACCATGAGGAACAAAACTCTCTGCTCTGATGAAACAAAGATTGAACTCTTTGGCCTGAATGCCAAGCGTCATGTCTGGAGGAAACCAATCACCGCTCAGCACCTGGCCAATACCATCCCTACGGTGAAGCATGGTGGTGGCAGCATCATTCTGTGGGGATGTTGTCAGTGGCAGGAACTGGGAGACTAGTCAGGATTGAAGGAAAGATGAATGCAGCAATGTACATCCTTGATGAAAACCTGTTCCAGAGCGCTCTGGACCTTAGACTGGGGCGACGGTTCATCTTTCAACAGGACAATGACCCTCAGCACACAGCCCACATAACAAAGGAGTGGCTACGGGCCAACTCTGTGAATGTCCTGGAGTGGCCCAGCCAGAGCCCAGACTTGAACCTGATTGAACATCTCTGGAGAGATCTGAAAATGGCTGTGCACCGACCCTCCCCATCCAATGTGATGGAGCTTCTGAGGTCCTGCAAAGAAGAATGGGAGAAATCACCCAAATATAGGTGTCCAGGCTTGTAGCATCATACTCAGAATGACTCGAGGCTGGAATGGGGGCTAAAGGGGCTTCAAAAAAGGATTGAGGAAAGGCTGGGGAATACTTATGGAAATGGGGGGGGGGGCTGGGAATACTTATGTACATGGGGGGGGGGGGGGGGGGGGCTGGGAATACTTATGTGCATGGGTTTTTTGTTGTTTTTTTTAATAAATTGCAAAGATTTCAAGACAAACTTCTTTGATGTTGTCATTATGGGGAATTGTTTGTAGAATGTTGAGGGAAAAAAATGAATTTAATCTGTTTTGGAACAAGGCCGTAACATAAAAAGTGGCAAAAGGTAAGAGCTGGGAACACCTTCTGGATGCACGTAGGAGACAACAATACACAATTGGTCAGACTTGCTTAACTGGCCAGGCTTGTTGGACGATACTGAAAAATAAAGTGATGACATGTTTGAAGTTCAGAGGAGATTTCTAAGAAACCGGTTCAGGTTTTCCAGGATATCGGGTCTCCTGCCGTCAGGTTTCACATTTGTTTTTCTGTAACCTTTTAAATCCTCAATAAAACACGACTATTGCTTTGTACTCACCTGGGAGATCTTATTACCGATGTCTGGGAACGGCGCACATAGAAAAGTGACAGCAGAAAAAGGCCAAGTGATCCATCCAGTCTGCCACTTCTTTCTTTTTGTGCGTTTTTTATTATTTTTTGGGCTACAGACATACGCCGGCCATAGATGGGTCGAAAATCGGCCGATTTTTGCACCGTTAATGGGTTAATTGGTCGGCCCGATTTTCGTGATTTTGACACATTTTTTTTATCGGTAAAGTTGGAAAAGAATCGGCCGATTTTGTCGATCGGCCGATTTTCACAGCAATGATGGGCAAATCTGCCCATATTTTTTACCGATAAAAAAAATGCGCATGAGCCGTGTCCTGCAAGAAGAATAAAAAGAAGAAGAAAAAGAAGAAGAAAATGAAGAAGAATTCCAGAAGAAAAAGAAGAAGAAAATGAAGAAGAATTCCAGAAGAAAAAGAAGAAGAAAAAGAATAAAAAGAAGAAGAAAATTAAGAAGAATTCCAGTCCGCTATTATATTTTATATGAAAAGTCTTGCAGTTGCAACAATGTATCTATTTGTATCCGAATAAAAACATCTGTATCCAAAATGGATACAAATAGATACTAATGGATACAAATAGATACATTGTTGCAACCGCAATACTTTTTCATGTCAAATATAATAGCGGCGCTCTCGGCAGGGACACTCCGCTATTTATATTTGCCGCCGTAGACGGGATAAAAATCAGCCAATTTTTTTTTACCAATGGTGGTATCGATTGAACGACCGATTTTTCGTTTTTTTTTTTTTTTAAAAACGGCCGGTTTTCACCCCATCTATGGCCTGCATAAGGTGTAATCCTTGCAGGACCCAAAGCCAGCAGCTCTCAAGAGGGTAGCACTACAAACATGACCATCACCTACCGCTCCAAGAACCCTTGTTTATACACCAATGAATTGGAGCAAAGTCCTGCAGGCGGCATTATTGCTCCATTGACTTTGAAGTTCACCGATCAATACCAGTGTTTCCAAATCTTTTTCCAGTCATGACACCCTTTAAAAACTTGCACCATCTCTAGTCTCCCCATTCTAAAATGTAAAAAACTAAACTAATAGTTTTCCATATCACAGCAACATTCACTCACACGTAGGACACCCAGTGTTAGAGGTGATTTATTCCTGCAAAGCAAACACACCTTTGCACACACTGGTACTGACTAGTATTCCAATGTTTCTCCTCTCCTTCAATTTCTCTCCCTCACTCAGCTAATATGCTCCCCAGTGCTGATGGAAAAGGGCAGGGGAGGGGCAAACAAGGATGCTGTGCAGCTGCCCAATATCTTCCTTATCAACTGGTGACTTTGGGTGGGGGGCCCATGGAACACAGCTCACTTTGGAGAGGTGGGGAGACCCCTGTCTCAGGTCCCTATATCCCTATTATGTGTAAGTCACCCTGTGCCTGTTAGGGGTACAGGGTGATCTGTCCTGATATTGGGGTGGGGGGTTGTTCATTGTTTAATGCCATGTGGTTGCATCCCATTGTTCTATTGTGTGTCTTGCTTGGGAGCATACTATTATGGGATGTATGTGTGTGTATTGGCTTGGTGGGGGGGGTGTCTCCAGCAGTCCTCCTTCCTGATGGGACTGTCTGCTGGTGTGTCTCTTGTTACTGGGTGTGGATTTCCCCACCCTGTGTCATTATGCAGGGAGGGGGGATTGTTCCCTTGAATGTATATATCTTGTATCTGTGTTAAAACAAAGTAGTCTATTTCCTGGTTTTCCTTCAAGATTGGTGTCGTCTAGTCTTGTCTAACAGAAGTACCCAAGTGCAGTCGGGGTCCGGTGCCATTACAGAGGGCACTGGTTGCTTTGATTACTACGCCCAGCCTCCTGCCAGGGCATTGGTCAAGGTCCCTCAAACATGCAGATCTGGACCTCCTCCCTTCCTCTCCCCTGTTCCAGAAAGTTCTCCACATTCCAGGAAGGTGGGAGGGCTCCAGAAGCCTTGATCTGTTAGAGCCTCCCAGCCAGGGCCGGTGCTAGACTATTTGGAGCCCTAGGCTAGACCAGCTACTTGCGCCCCCCCCCCCCCAAAAAAAAAAAGAAACAGGAGAAAATATTAAATCAACAAATCATGAAATTGCAAAATGTCTTTTAATTTGCAAAAATAAGTGCCATAAGATGCCACCAGCACCGATATTAAAGTCAAACTCCGTGTCCCGGATGGACTGTATCTGTGGTTGGCAGTGGGCAGGGTGACAAAGATGATGGATCTACACTCTGACAGATCCCAGGATGGATTTCCCCAGGCAATGGGGGGGCGGTAAAACACTGTGACAGCAGGCAGCTGAACACAGTGACAGATTCGACACAGCACACCACCACCAACACTGACACAGATCAGCAGGCACTAGCAGAGCAGGCTGGGGGATCGTGATGATGTCATCATTCACCGACACATTGCACATGTGATGGATGTCCGGCCAGCCAGCCGAGTCACACTCACACAGACACGAGACAACAGAGTCAGACGTTACCTTCCTCAACATGCACTACTCCACCTCCGCTGATGAATGGGAAGAGAAGGGCTGGAACTCCGCAGTGATCAGCAGCCGCCAGCCGATTTGCAGTAAGAGACTGAGTCTGAGAGGAACACTGGAAGGAGCCGCAGATCAGCTGCTACACTGGCCCTAGACACCCGGCATCCTCTGTCTTTTCATCCTCCCCTCTGCCGCCCCTCCCCTCAGCTGAAAGATCATTCATGACGGGGCAGTATCCCACACAGAGAGAGTGCCAGCCTGTGCTGCGCCCAGGTGCCCCTAGGTGGCAGTGCATCCTAGGCGGCCGCCTAGTTTTGCCTAGTGGAAGCACAGGCCCTGCTGTGACCTCACTCCCAGGCTGACTCATCCCAGCCTCTGTCTCAAAAAAACCCCCTAAACAACAAAAAGCCTATCTAACGTACCTAGAGGGCGCCACACACTTTGATCATTTATTTGAACTTTTATGATAATTGTATCTTGCTTGTTTGATTTTGTCGTTTGCAATCTGATATTTTACCATTGGAGGGCAGCGCAGTCTGGTCCTCATTATTAGGATGCTTCTGTCTGTATTGTGTGGGACTTTATCCGAGTGCTGGAAATGTGGGACCTAATGATCATGTGCTACTTGTAATATACAGCTTAATGTCTTTGTAGTAACATTGTAACAGATGTGCAATTATACCAGAAAATATATATAGAAATTAATATATATATATATTAATATTTTAGATATATCTAAAATATTTATATATTTTGGGAAAATTATATACAGTTTGTGCAGAGCTTTACAATATAAAGGGAGAGTACAATTACAATACAATTCAGTACAGAAGGAATAGGAGGATTTTATTAATCATTTCTATAATTTTTACATTGTAAAGACAAGC